AAACCGAGATTCAATGCCACGATTTTGTCATACGATATCCCAAGCGCCACGCCTAAGCATCAATTAAAACGGAATTAGCGGATTTTTTGGAGGTGTTCAATAAAATGTTTCTTTTAAAAATTAAACAAAAATGCGTTCGGAGATCATTTAATTTAATCCATTCCATTAAATATATAAATGTTCCTAATGATGATAAGATCTAATTAATTTAAATGCAACTCGAATTAACTTATCCTTTATCAAGTTATTTTTAATCGAACAAATAAGTATTGACAAAAATCTATTATCAACCTTTCGCAAAAATCCAATAAATATAAGCAATCCTAATAAATATATTTGTAACAATAGTAAATAATCGGAGATAATTCCAATTACCTTTCATATCATCATATTTTTACATACATAATGATATATAATATACTAGGGTCGGTCCGCTATTTCCAACAGCGGAAAAATACGACCCTCAAAATTCGAAGTCGATAGACCAACAAATGAACAAATCGAGAAACCGACCAACCACGGACCTTTTTTTTCCTTCTTGGCCGTCAATAGGGAGCTCTGGCTGCCATTCATCGCATCAACTATTTTCATGCAACAACAGAGGTGATCGGCCACGATAGCGGCACTCGCTGCCGCCCGGTTCTATTGCAGATCTCATCGATCATTTTCTGCAAGTTCCTTGTCACCTGCAGCAGCCTTTGTGGCGGATGGCGAGCAGGACACAGGTCAGTGCCACAGATCGCAGAGCGTTGCGCCAGGTAGTCGAGGCACTGGGCTATAGGTTTTCAAGAACTGGTCTCGAGTGCCAAAGCCGCTATCCACCCAAAGTTCGCCGATCCTGTCCAGCAGCACCTTCATACTGAGGCCCTGATCCGGAAACAAATACATGGGCTTTGCTGCATTTGCTTTTGACCATTTTGTCAAACTTTCCCGGTTGATCCGTTGCCATGCAGCCCGAGCTCCTGAAAAGCCCAAAGCGTTGAAGGGACGCCAGCCGTTGCGACTGGCCGCTTTCCAAGTCATGGATTATTCAGCGAGGTTGAGGACCGGTTCACCGATGCTCTGCAATACGGCCCGGGCGTCGGCTGATATCCCACCGTTGAAGTTCTGCCCTGAAGGACCGAAGTCACCGTCGTCACCATCAGGTTCGTACGCAATATCTGGCGTCTCATCTGCTGGCTCAAGATGCTCTGCATGCGGACTCCGAGGAACACCTGCCGTCTGTCCCCACACCGTGTCCGAGTCGATCGTAGCCAGATATGCGATGCACCAAGCCGGCGTTGTCCATGCCGATATGTCATGTAGGCGGTCGCGTAGCAAGCGACAGATGCCACGGCCACCCGAAAGCACCGCATATGCACAAGCCAGTGTCAGCATAGAACCGCACAGTTCGACGGTCTCCCAATGATGATCGTGAATCAATACCGCAGATGATGAGTCAGCAGTGCAATGGCAACATACCGCATGCGATGCGAGCGCGATCCGCCAAGTTACCTGCAGCCAGCCAAGGGCGGGCACGGCAGCAGGGGTGACAGGACGCCCAGACATCATTCCAAACCAGCACAAATCCATTCAGAATCCAGCCCAAATACATCCAGAATTACGCTAAGCTCGGTCCCTTGTTCGAAAGGTCTGAGGCACCATGCCGATAGCATATTCCTAAATATAGTGTGCAAGTATACCATACAGATTATAATACTTCAGCATATATTTGATAAGCTATTGGATCGTATATTTTCAGCTGGGCCCTCCTGCAAGGGCAAGGTAGCAATCTCCCTGGGCTTTAATTTCGCCTTCCAACCTAGCCGCAAAACTCGTGGACAAACCCACGGTAAATACCAGAAAGGCAAAGAACAAACAGTGCAAACGATCGGTAGAAAAGGCTCCGATTTTCCAGACCATGAGAACCGAAAATGTTTGCATTACTTTGGGAATTTTGGAAAGCAAAATTGATATCGCGAATATACACGGTGCCTAGCATTATTTCGGGGCTATTTATGACTTCAAAATTGTGACCCCCGGAAGCAGCTGCGCCTCTGCCGGGCCACACGCAAGTGGCAAAATGGCTGCAGCAGCAGGACTGCTATGGTAAAGAATTGAAAATCGAGCTGATTAGGGCACCATCAATTTTGAGAAAACCAAATTCGTGTTTGAAAAGAAACTTCTGTCTTTTCATAATGCTTCTGTGCAAGAAGCTGTATCCAATCTATACACAATATTGTCCGATGTCCATGATGCTTGCAAAAAGCACCGTATAGTCTGATAATGCTAGTTTGTACGAAGCTATCTCGTATTTGCCAACAATGCCAAGACCCTTTTTTGAAGCTGCAAAAGGCAATTCGAACAGAAGGTCATTCAGAATATGGAGCAAATGACCGACGCAATCATAACAAGCCAGAATAAATAAGGCGCATATGTATATATATATGTCAAAAGATGCAGGTCGAAAATAGATCAATGCAATGTTGTCAAATAAATACAAAATCTTTCAAAACATCAAAAAACAGGATAAAAAATTTATCAATGCAATGTTACCACACGGATCAATGTACCAGGATCATCCGACCATCTGGGTGTCCTGGCGTTCGACTACCCTATCCTACGTAAACAGGTCTCCAGACAGGGCATCCGTTGGAAGTGCCAGGTATGGAGCATGAGTCGTGTTTGGGAGTGATCTTTGGACAATTTTGTCGGACGCCACGACGGAAGGATGTGTGGTCGCATTCTTCGCCTGGATTTCGCAGAACAGAGCTTGTTTGGTGGCAGAGATGTTCATTGGGAGAAATTCTGGTACACATTGAGTTCAATAGGTTAAGGCTCGCCCACCCTAGGACAGAGTGGTTGATGGAGGCAGCATTCTACTCTCCCAGTCGTCCTTGGATCCCTGTGTCCAATCCCTTGGCCAAGTAGACTCAGGTGTGCAGTTTCCAGACCTGCCTGTGCTTTGGTATCCTTGGTTTGGGCAGAGGCGAAAACGACATATATTCTATCAAAGCATCAAACATAAAATTTAAATTTGCGACGCATTCACGCATATAACTATTATAAAAATTTATTATGGTAAGACATTATTTCCTTGTGCGTGCGGCCGAACGTGACAGCGGAAAGCGATAATACAAACATCCAAGAAATGCTCCATAAATATGTAAGAACGAAATGAAAAATAGTAGACCACGCGAGGTTCGAACCTACGATCGACAATGTCGAAATGTAACGGAATTGCTGCATAATAAATGCCCCAAAACAAAAATACAATATATAAAATAGTTAGATTATTTCTTATATTTTAAAATCGAAAAAATAAAATAATCCAATTATTTTAAAACAAGAGAGGTCCGGACCATATACCAATTATAAAAAATAAAAATTCAAAAAACAAATATGTAAGAAATAATCCGATATTTTTCGTTATCCTATCATCGCACTTGAGCGGGGAAACACGAAAGGTAGAGACGGACCGAGTAGCTGTCGGGACCGTTTCTGGTGAGGGACTGTCTCCGGTGTTTCAGGAACGTGCCCCTTGGTCAATCATGGATGAAACCAACAAAGCCAGAGAGCACAAGAAGGCATAAGAAGGCTCAAGAGGAACACCGTTGCGGTCAGATTGCGCCACACGGCTCTGCAGAGAGGCTGCGTCGCGTCGACGCTCGTTTGTGTCTAGGTGTGAAAACAGGCGCGCGTAAAATCGCAATGCGTAAACGCTCGCATGTGTACCAGCTATTGTCCCACAGCTGCACGTACTGTGTCAGGATTACAGGCCTGCACGCGTTGCGTCGAAGCCGCAATAACTCAGTGACCAACCCCCGTGTAAGGATAGTGCTGGAGGGGTGCGGTGCGGCCGGTATTACCAGGGATAGACGTCACGCTATGTGGTGTGCTCCACGATGCGATAAGATTTCGCCACGCTGGGGTATAAAGCTGAGTCGAATGGTGTTCCGCGACGCGAGGAATTTTTCATCGATGCTCGTTGGTGTCGAGCAATATGGTCTGTGAACGCAATACGGGCTGTGTCAGGTTGCCTGGTGCGCACACGCGGCATCGAACATGCATTGCGCGACCTCATTGCGCAGGGTTCGTGTTGTGTTGCGTAACCTCATGGCCAGCATCGTATTGCTCCGATTGTTAAGCGCATAACTTCATTTTATATCCAGAATTTAATAATGCTAACGACGAGAGGAAGGGACGTCGAATCAATTAATTTATCAATCATTCATTACATGGGAACGGGAGAAGAGGGGAAGGGTAAAGAGTGTTAAAGATTAATCTCCCAATCTTTAGTCCCGAGCAAGCTCTCAACCCAATCCCTTTGCTTCGCAAATCAAACTCAAGATAGTTCTTACCAAGCTACCTTTCGTGATAATAATTTCCTTTCGCAAAAATTTTATTATACAATCAAAATATTTCAATTTTATATATAACTATTAAATCAACAATATTTATTTACATCCAATAAATAAAAATTATTTTCATAATTAAATAACTATTAATTTATAGAATTATTAAACAATTAATATGTCCTTATCCCCCGAGAAAAATATAATCTAATATTTATTTCCTAATCTCATCCATTCTTCCAATTTATCCCCCCGCCCCCGACTTTCAAAATCAACACATAACCTTGAGAAAGAAATTTAAACGAAAACATATTTTTTATATAAATATCTCAACCTTATATAAATTCAATAATTTTCACAACCCCTATAGGACTAAAAATACAATCATCGCAAAATCAAAATTTGTAAGTCCCCGGGATAGTCCAGCACCGCGAGGCATAATAATGCTAAAGGCCATTACAAATTCCATTTAGATGAATAGATTATTTAATAATATAAATATAAATTAATATTCTCCGCAAAACAATTTCAACACATCACCCTAAGGTTACCTTTAGCAATTCATAACAATTCCTATATGTCAATTCAATATAATATTGAAATATATAAAATATAATAAATCCAATGCTTATACAGTATATCCGGTTGCATTTTAAGAATTCATTTGTTCATACGGATTTCATGGGTGATTCGTATCAATCCGTTTTAGGCGAATTGTCATCTTTGGCCTTGAAACACCAAAATATGTTTTGATACAAAATTGTGTTGGATTCTCAGCGATGTGCACAAGTAGAGTGCAAATCCCGAAAGAACACGTCTCCGTCTCGTGGTCCTTTGATTGTTTCGTTGGGAAAATGGGGCTGGCAAAAGAAATCCTCATCGGAAGCAGATCTTCCCTTGGCGTTTGAGCAGTCCAAACTGTCTGTGTTTGGGTTTCGACCTGAGTGCCACACCGCTGAGCCTTTCCATTCTTCGTAGTGACCTGTCAGGCAAATCTTTTGAGCAACACCAGAGCAAACATTCACCATGTTCGTGATATTTTCTCTAAGTTGGCCCACTCACAAACGAATCTTACTAAGTCTTACTACAATCTGCATTGACTCCCTCCTCCGCCATGCTGGTGTTCACAGCCACCACTTTGTGACCGTCAGACTCCAGTGCTGAGGACCTCAGAGCGTGGAAAGTCGGAACGGAAACGGGTCATCCAAGCGTTTGTGTTTTGTATTTTATATCTGTTCAACGATGCAATATATGTTCGTCTTTAGTAGGATGCGTGATATCATATCTGTTCTATGTCATTCTATAATATTCTATACATATATTATGTACATATATGTGGTCTGTCCAATCTGTATTTTACACTATTTGGTATAGGGCTTACAAAATTGATCAGGCTAGTGGCTACACACAAACAAAAACAAAGCACACATGGCACCCGTGTCCAATTCATGTTGCATTCCACACATCACCTCTAAGTGGCGACAAAGTAACAAAGAAAGGCCAAGAACAAGCAAAGGAGAAGCACGAAGATGAGCGAGGTTGAGTGAATGCTGGCCGTAATCATGGTGAAACCAAATGAAACAAACACACCGTCTCAAACGATTTGTGCCACACCGTCTCTCCGGTGCAACCTCAGTCTACCGAGTCCACCGCAGATCCAGCACCTTCATATGCTACTAGCAAGGTGCATCGCTAGCAAGGACGCGAACTTGTAGCTAAGTGCATAACTACTAGTTGCTAGTAGCAAGAAGCTACTAGTGACTAGTGGCGATGCACTTGTTACTTGTTACTCACCTTCGCCTGACAACATCGCCCATAATTAGATTCGACACCCGGGGCAGCGGACACGATCGTCACGCGTTCCAGAGCTGATCCAAGCCCCGAGACCTGCCCCGGGAGGTGATGGCCAGCCCCGAGACGTCCCCAGCGAAAAGCAATTTGTGCGAATTGCAAAGCTGTGATCCAAAGCTGTACATGTTAAAACCTTTTTGATCCTTTTTGTGTTACAGCCAATCACTTGAAATCTCTCCGCTCGGATTGGGCGGGGCCTCGAGCTCAGCTGGAGCTGCATGGTCCGGTCGTTCGGCCTCGTCTGCGACGAGAGCGACGAGTTTGGTTGAACGCAGTGCTCGCATGGTCCACAAGAGAAACGCTATGAACTGATACAGTACACAGGTTCCTACTCCGGGCCACGCGAAAAGCCAGCCCTGTCCTGAGATATCCTGAGGTGAGCATCTGAGCATCAGAGATATCCTGAGAACCATGCAATGAGCTCTCTGGCAGCGTGCACGAACCAGGCCGCAGGGCGCCGCGCGGTGATTTTCACCTCGAAATGTGTGCAAAGGACTCGTCTGTCGCCGAAGGGCTCGTTGGACCCCGGGGGTGAAGACTCTCAAGGACCACCAATGAACCGTGGTGACCGCAGGATGCTTGTGGGGATTCTCAAACAGCCCCCTAAATCGACCACTCTCAGCATCACAAAGCAGCTTACAAGCAGCACACGTTCATCTGGTGCATCCATGGCCTGCTGCACAAGCTCTGGGTACCAGCTGCGCATGAGATCAAGCGCACGACTACTGGCCAACCCTGAGGATCCAAGGACGGAGAGTGGAGAATATGATGGGTCATGGCACAGTCAACGACCCGCTGTTGAAGTCGGCAACATGTTTGACTTTTGGGGGGCATGTCAAAGAGTGCTTCTTGTCTTGATTGCAGGTTGCCATGATTTCAAAATGGTCCATGCGTTTCTGGAACTTGAATGAACTTGATACAAACACATGACACTGCGTAGCAGGAGGCCTAAGTCATCGTTCACCAGCACATCATTGAAGAAGTCCACGTTTTCCTTGTAGAAATCTATCTCACCTCCAAGTTGATGCAACAGTTGAACAGTCATGCCGTCATGATATCAATTTGAAGATTAGATTATTCACCGTCAAACGACATATTTGTGCAGTGCGAAACTCTTTGAGCATCAACGTCTGACACAATCGACACTGACTTGCTACCGACTTGTTTCCAAGTGGCTTCGCGCATTTCGAAGCCGTGTCTGAATCTTCTCCTGGGCGGAAAGCATGCCAGGGTAACTTCAGCCCTGCTGGGTCCACATGACAAGCCCGTGAATACCAAGCCATTTCCGGACCAAAAGTCACAAACCCTACAGGCCCCGAAGGGTCGCATCCGTCGAAGACAACGTCCTCGACACATGTGTCTTGCCTCGACCGGTCTACCGGCCTCGGTTTCGGTGCCCCGCGCCCGCAACCTCTTCTCCAGAGATTCCACGGAGGGCGGCGCAATGAACCTGCATGGAAGGCCGAGGTCACTGCAGCGTTGGTTGAGTTCACATGCCCGAAATGAAAACAAGAGAGGAGTGTGCACTTGATAGTGCCAGCGATGGTTTTAGATGGTTTTAGGGGGGTTCGTTTCAACATACTCCCAAATCAGGGGTTCACTCAATGAATAGTGGAGTCGTGGAGAGGACCACCAGTTTGTTGCTATGTTCAACTGTTTCCTCTCCAATAGGTTGTCAGTTGGTCCAGTGCATGCTTGTTCACCAATAATATCAAAACATTAAACAGCAAAACAGCAAACACCATCAAAAAACTTCTGGATTCTTCGGGCTTGCTCAGTTCCGAACGTGATCCTCCTAAGACACTGCCAGGATGCAAATAGTTGAAGTCACTGTGGATCTTCTTGATTTGCCTTGCTCCTTCAGTTTCAAGAATCACGTCAAAATAAATGAAAACTGCATGGTCAAAACACACCGAATATTGAGCTGCCGCTGCCCACTGAACATCCACCTCCGCTGTGAGCCGCCTTTGTTTGCATCAGCTTTCTCACTCAATCGGCCACGCTGCATTCGGCACCATTAGACAGTGCCTTTGGGCATTCCCCCATAAGTTCCTTCCTACGAACATCTCATAATGACATCTCCAAGCATGTTCTCTTCCATGAGCCTTTTGCTTTTCATTGCCGGAACATGTCACAAAAAGAACCTCCACATGTTTAGGACAAATCCTGCGCAGCGCTCCTTGCACGTCCACGTCCAAAATGCAGATCTGCCCTCGCTGCCGGACCTTCTCCACTGCCTCCTATCGGTTTACCAAGGGTAGGAAATTATAGAAAATGGTACAAAAGAAGTGGAGCTTTACACAGAAGCCCACAAAATGAATGAAGATGATAGCTCACTGAAGACTCAAAAGATCTCAAAAGACTCGACTCTAAATCAATAACTTAAAGTGCATATTCATGCGGATTCACCTCAATCATCCTCAATCGACGTTTAGCCCACTCGCCTGTGAGGTGCCGTAGAGGTTCCCGTGCACTGTGGCGTGTTCTAGGAAGCGGCCTGGGATCTTCAGTTCCTGCGAGAGTTTGCGACGTTTGCGACAGGGGCCTTCTGGCTGTTCATGGGTTTTGACTTGTCTTTCCCCAACCAATCCGGGATCAGGTTTGGGGCCTAAGGTGATACCCCTCCCCACTCTTGAGACAAAACACAACCCCTTTTTCAGTGGTGCAGTATGAGTAAGTATTTCGATAGAAGCCATGGTCGGTCGCCATGTTCGCTTTCGAATGACGTCGCAGGAGTTCACCGTTTTCCACACCAGGCCTTCTGCATGGTCTCCATGTCGACAAAATTGTAGGCTTCACCGTGAACCTCACGTTGCATGAGGTTCACTGCATGGTCATAGATGTCATGACGTGACTCCCGAAGAAACATGAAGACAAATTCTTCATTCCTCAAAGCGAGATCGACTTCGAGAACATGGAGTCAAATCGACACATTGGCCGTTCGCCCGGTTGGACAGTTCGAAGACTAAGTCATCGGTGAGCACCTTCCCCCCCAATGGATCCCCCCATGGTCGAATTGTCCCCCGCTTGAGCCTTCTGGGGCCTTCTTACCTGATTCAAACCATGCCCACGTGAATTCGACCGGGAGAACCATGGAGAACCCACTCCCCAAACGCCGCCGCCCAGTGGCGCCACCGTTCGCCGTTCTCTCCCCACCCGGCCAGGCTGGGCGCGCGCCTCGCCGGGCCTTGGCTTCCTCGTGGTGTGAGAGACGGAGAATCCAAAGCGTCCTGGCACGGTCTTCGGGGATGACGGCTGGGCTGTCTGCTTTCTTGGCACGTTTTCCTTCTTTTCGATGTTGTCTTTCATCACATGACCAGACCTGACCAGTTTGCCCCAAACATACACCTGGCCTGAAAAACAATGAAACTTATCGGCGTATGCTGGTGTATGTAACGCGTAAGTTTCAACGGCTTTAAACACCAATGGCATCGATGAAAGAAACCAGAATTTCAGCAGCTACAAAAGATGGACACATTCGCATACATGGTCTCCAAAGGAGAGTGCAGCACAAACAAGTGGCAGCGCAGCTGCAGTCGCCGTCGCCTGCAAAGCCCTCACGGATCTTGGCGATGAGAGTGCCCTTGCCCACACCAGATGGCCCCACAATGACCAAAGGCCTCGGTGGACGCAAACCGCCTTGTGAGCGCCCCGGCGCCAGCGGAGCAGGATGTAGATGCCATAGAATAGCTTTGCAAGAGGCATGGGGCCCAGGTTTCGTGGCACAGCGTTTGGAAGTCGCGCAGTGCAATAGGGAGGCCCCCAAGCAATGGGGTTTAGATGGTTTTAGTCTATGTTTCTCTTTCCAGGCAGTCTTTGGGAGTCTCCGTTTGCCAGTCCAAGCTTTGTTGCTTTGGCTGAAGCGGATATGGGTTTAAATTGTGCTTTTCTTGGATGTAGTGGATGGTGGGGGGCACAAAATCTAGGAATTGAACGCACGAAAAACATGCACATCAAAGACATATAATGAAATGGCTGAAGAGCCTGACTGAAATGGGTGATGCGGTATGACGAAAACCTGCCACATGGATATCAACAATGGTTTCGATGGGTATCTACTAAAAGACACCGGCCGTCTTGTGAGGAGCATTCCAACCTTCATTGATACTTGTTACACCTTGTCTTGTTAATTACTTGTTGTACATAGTACAAAGGGCAAGCACTTTCGGACCTTTTTGGATTTCAGATGCTTTAAGCATGGCCCATCAATGTACGACAGCACGCTGATGAACATTCTAGCGTCCTTCTCCCAAAACCCAAGTGATGTTCTTCCCACATCGAAGATCCAACAAACAAGGAAAAGTCCATCGTCGAATCATATTATCGAAATTTATCGAATTCATCATTGCACCCGAGAGACGTGGGAGCAGTTGAACGGGATGTCTTTGCCTCATTCCTTGGCATCCGAACTCGACCTCTTCTGATGGATGCCTCGTCGCGTCTCACTGAGGCATCCACAATGGGAATCGCGGCAGGACCGGTGTGGGTTCCTCGTGGCCGACGATCAAGGCAAGAAGGGAAGCGACGGCGGGTCACAAGGAGGCGTGATTGACAGGCTCCAAAAGGAAAGACAGGAGGATGCACATTCCAATGCATGTTTCAACACCAACTGTCATGAACATTCATGAACAAAAAGACTTGCATGGAATACTGCGCGACGCAATGCCCACTCATCAACCTGCAGCCCAGGATCTGTCTTGGACAAACTCACAACCGGCGGACCCTTCTCTTGCCTTAGTGTCGAAAGCTGAAGAGCAATGAACCAAGGCAGAGTCCAAGGGCTTTCCAAGGCATTCCAAGGCATCCAAGGTGCACTTCCTTGTGAATGCAATAGCCAAATCGTTTGCAAAACGCCGCATACCTGAATGGCAAAAAAAGAGATTTGCAAAACACCTCCAAGCATTGTATACAGCAATTACAAAGTTGATCAAAGTTGTAGTTGTGACAGTCGAATGCCAAGTCATGATTCCAAACCGGAGAAAAAGGCCTGGCAAACAGTTTTTCTCAGTTTAAAGCCAAGGAGCTGTTGCAACCTAAGCAGGGAAAGCTATTACAAAAGCCTGACCCTGCTAACAGTGCTGGACTCAAATGGCGCTTGACAGTGGAAAATGGGTTGAAACGGGCATGCATAGTAGAGCAACATCCTTCAGAAGTCCTGAGGACCCGACACTTCTTCGTCTTTGGTCTTCAGAAAGTTGCCAGCACTCATGCTTGTCGTCTGCTCTTTGTGGGGAATAGACCCAAGTTCGACAGCCAAAAGGGTGAGGTTGTCATCTGCCTCTCTGTCAATGCAAAAATGAAGCAAAGATTCCAAAACCACACCCAAGTCCTCCACATCGGACTTGCAAATGCGTTCCACAGCTTGCTCATTGCTGATGGTATCCCAAATACCGTCACATGCAAGGATAAGCCAATCACCTCTAGACGCTTTCCAGTGATACACCTCCGGCTCAAAGCTCACTTTGGGCCGCTGCCCGTCCTTGAAAGCAAAGGCACCCAGTGCGCGACTACATGCCAACTGCCCATCTACACGTTCCAACTCGACCGTGCCCCCGGCGGCCTCAATCCGTTTTCGCTCCGAGGGATCTGTCGGTCGATGGTCTTGAGTCACCTCCAAATGACCGTCAGCTTTCCTCCACAACATGGCACGCGAATCACCACAGCTGGCCACCAAGAGCTCCAAGGTACCATCTGTACCATCTCCATTTACTCCATTGGGCGTGTGATTGTGAAGCAGCTTCACAATTGTGGCAGTGCTTCCAGCTTCACAGCCTTTGGGTAAAGCATCCCGGAGCTCTGCATCGCAAGCTCCAAAGGCCTTCCGCACAGAGTCCGTGTCATGTTTTTGGCCTTCAGCTTTCGCCAGAAAGAGATGTAAGCGTTCAGCACAAAAGGCTGCAGCCTCATCACCGAGATGTCCGTCAAAGACTCCACAAATAGCACTCTCTTGATCAAGCAGGTGACAGTCTTCGAAGCTTTTCCGAAGACCCTGCAGGCAACCAGCTTCTGGAAACAGTGAGTTGCAGTCATCTACGCAACATATGACCTGTAAGACCAGTCACAGTCTATGCATGCAATTATTGTCTATCCGCAAAGGAACTTAATATTGGCTCATGATGGCATAGCTGCATAGCTATTGTTGGACAACCAAACAAAATATTGATGAGTCGATGACTGCTGCCTATTGCATCCTTTTACCATCTGAACTGGATGCGCTAGAAAACCTGTCTCTGTTTATGCTTGTTTAGACTTGAGAGAGGAGGGGGGTGAACGAAAGGTAGCAGGGAATCAGGCGTAATCCGGGAGGAGGTGAGAGGCCCCCCACTTGTTTGAAGAGAAGTGAGTGAGCGTGATGAAAGAAAAACTAATGCACAAACGCTTGACAAAACCTCCAGAAGCTGTAGCGGTCTAGCGGTTTCAATACAGGTTGACGTGCCTTCAAAAGGAGTCACATATTTCTCAAATGCAACTTCGGATTTACATAGTGACGTGCGGCGACCCTTTAAATTGCGTGGCCGCAGGCCATGCTTGCAAACAGGACGTGCTCAAAAACACTGGTATTTACGAGGTTTCGTTGCCGTCGATCCACAGCCGCGGCAAGGTCTAAGGCCACGCTTGAAGACAGGAGGAGCTGAAAACACTGGTATTTACGGTATTTTGTAGCCGTCGATCCAAAGGCGCACCACGGTTGAGCGCTGGAAAAGCGCAGAAAGCCGTGTAAATACCAGCGTTTTCTGCCGGGAAGGTGCACAAAACCCTGTAAATACCATAGTTTTGTGCAATTTTGAAGCCTCCAAAAGCCTCAAAAACCCTTTCTGACAAAATCTTTCCTGGCTTTTGGTCTTTTTTCGGTCATTTTTCTAACCGAGGCGCATCAAAAACCATCGGTTTTTGCGGTGTTTTTTGCCGGACAGCCACAAAAAACGCTGTAAAATCAATGATTTTTGGTCACTGCTGAGGACTGGAAGAGCTGAAAACACTGATATTTACAGTGTTTTCGAACGGTTGACCCCGAGGCGCGCTAGGGTGGAGTTGAAAGGGGGGGGGGGGCCCCCCCCCCCCGGCCAGCAAACGAAGATGTCGGGGACCATTTCTCCGAGAGATAGGCTGCAGCTCTGGGTTAATACATTTTTGCTAAAGCAAAAGGAAAACTCAGGTAGCGTAACCGCTACCTTTCGTGAATTGTTTAGGTATGCAATGATTTGGGATAGATGTTGATAGCCTCAAGCCTCCCTCAAATTGATGCTCCAAAACTTTACTGTAATCATGGGCAGCATGGTTGATCAGGATAAACATGCTGCTAGGAAGCTGGCTACGCAACACTGCACCTCTAGAACACAGAATAGGCATGAACAGCGGTAAACACAAACTAGAGTTCAAGGATCAGCAATCTCCATCACAAACCAAGGGAGTTATATAGTGAGTCTGCTTGGCATTTCGTTGTCAAAAGGTCTTCCCTTGCTTTGTCAGCTCCTGCATGCATGCGACTGCTGCACGGCCCAGCTTGCCGACACTGCGTTGCAGTGCCACAGCCGTCACAGGTACCGACAGTGGCATGGTGCCCAAGTGATGGCGTTGCGCTGACGGAATGTGATGGAGGTCACAATTGCTTGGAAAACACGGATACCATCTTGTTCGGGATTTGAGGTTTGCAGATTCTCCCAAACTATTGGGATGTTGTGTTTTTGTGGTCCATGGAGCTGGTTCCGCATAAGTCCCGTTCAGAGTCGCAAGGAAATGCTTCTTCAGTCTGCTGGTCTTAATATGTGCGGCCGACCATGGAGAGGTCCAAACAGGGCCCCCTCCGGTCAGACCGCAGGTGCGAAGCTTTTGGAGGTTTTGACATCGATTGAACGCTGCTGCTGGTGACCACTGCCAGCACTTGGAGCGCACTTCCCGGAAATCATCGGAAATCTCCCCCTTGCATGGGGTGCTGGTAACCTTCAACAGCAACATCTGTGACCCCTCAAAGCTTTTGTGGAGAGTGTGGGGGATGGTCAGCCATGGTCAGCCACTGGACACAAAGTTTGACTAGCTGCTAGCTTCCACTTTAACACATTGTATTTTTCTATGCAGGCCCCATAGGCTCTGTAATCAGAGAGTCTGATGCTGACTCACCTCAGAATTGACTGAATGTTCTTGCTCATGCCGGAAGACTAGCCTCAGCCAAGTCTGAGCCGAGAGCCACATCTTTGCTAAGTTCACAGCGAGCTTTTGCTACTCGTGCACCATCATGCATCACTAATGTCGACTGCTGTTAATAAAAGGCCCCTACCATATTTATATTATTTTGCTCTGTCTATAGTCAACGTCATTGCTGTAAATCTGCAACCATTCTTACAATCACCGCAATGCAAAACCAACCACTGTAGATGATACAAGAACCATTGCGAAGCGTTCTCTTTTCAGTGGCCTGTCTTTTTCGCACGACGGCTTGACCGTGGCAAATTACAAGGGGTGATGGTGACACGGGGCAAACTTGCTTTGCACGCTGGCCCGTTTCTTTTCCTCGCTTCATAGAGTCATAGAGCTTTTCTGATGATCTCATGAAATTCTGATTTCTCGTTAGGTTGAAGGCCATCGCAAATGTAGCAATGAAGTTCCCTTCCCCGGTGCGTTTGCTTCCTCCATCCTCAGTCCTCAGTCGAGCTCCGACGCCTTGAGACCTTGACACGTTCCGCGAGTGTCAAAACAGCGGAACCCGCGGGTGTCCAGCATCTCCAAGCCCGTCTGATTGATCCATGCACAAGGGAAAGCACCTCGCTGTAGGCTGTAGACTGTAGATCACCTCGAACGTGAAGCACCTCCGACCAAGGCGGTCACATCGGAAGGATCCACCCTTCGTTTCGGTCACGTTCTTCAGCTGAAGTAATATTCCAAGACATCATCAGGATCCACCCAGGGCGTTTCTCCTTTGGCGAAGATCAAAGCGCTGCTTCGAGGCCGTGGGGGGCCGTAGGCAAAGGGAACAAGCAAAGGAAAAGGAATTACAGTATGTTTGGAGTACACTCTGGAGACTCTGGAGGCCTCACCTCTAACTCAAATACAGATTTGACTCTCGGGACAAGACAGTAGTTCAATTGAATAATATTGAATATGGCAACGGATAATTTTATCCTTAAAAATCATATAATAACCAATCCCACAATCCTTGATCGTTTTGTATGCTCCACTATATTCCGCAGTATGCTAATGCTATTCATCTGGCGCCATGTCTGACAATAGGAGTCGCCCCGCGCAACAGCAAACCGACTACTGGGACGTGAGTAGAAAGTAGATGAGACCAAGTGGGCCAGTTTTTCTTTTTTTCTGTTGCTTCAAACCCAAAACAAAGCCAAGCCCGAAAAATGTGTATATCCAAATCAAGAAGTGACAACGAGAGACTCCATATCTGCCTAGGCAAGTTGCATATCTGATATCTGCCTTCCCTTTTTTTCTAATCTATGCATTTTTTATAGACAAATAAAGAGATAGATATCATGGTTTCGCCGTGGTTTCGGCTGGCTTCTATAGATCCATCGCCATACTTTTTGTAATAGACCAAAGGCCAAAAGGTTTCTACATGCTCCTGCAACATGTCTCTTTGGCCTTGGGCTGATCCCCCATCTGAATTGGATGGGCTTAACCAGCCCGTTGAACGCTTTTGAAAACCCTTGGCCTCTTCGCGCCTTTTCAGTCGCAAACATCGAACATCCGGCCAAATTCTTGGAAGCGAAACAAAGCCAAAAGGGAAAGGTCTAAGTCTAAAGAGGCTAAGGTGTCAGGATTACAATAAAAAAGCCTAACCTCCAAACGCGCATGCCTTCCAATGAAAAACATCCATATATATATATATACTTATATAACTTATATAAAGATAAAGATCTTCATCAGTCGTTGAGCATTTTTCATTTCTCACCATCCCACCGGTCGCCTCGTAGCCACTCGTGGGGTCTTCGGGCCCAGAATCGGCGCACGCCGAGCTCCTGGACCCGGACCGGGCGGAGAGCGAGCGACCCGTGGGGGTTGGGGGTTGGAGCCGAGACGACCAATCCGTACGAATCCCATCGAATCTTTTGGGCGAAGGATACGGGTTTCTCCTTGGGCAAGGAGAAGGTCGCTTGGACGTGGAGCCGGTGGAGGCCAGTGATTTTAAATCACTTGGACGATCTTGTCTGGACTGCATTTCACTTTTGGGAGATCCAAGGTCTGGCGGTGGCTTGAGAGTTCTCCTTGTCTTTCTTGTTTGCCAGTCGATTTGGTACAACATGGTTTCTCTTGACTACAGTACCGCGCGTGCCCCTGTTGACAAATACTATTGCATGCTATTGCCATAAGTTATATAATAAGCATCCATAAGCTGTTCTCTTCCGCCGTCGCGAAGTCTTGACGACCATGAGCAAATCTTCAGTACTAGTACTCTGTACTTACTCCCTGCCAATCAAAGCTTTGCAACACTCATATAGCATGGCCACTTTGAGCATCTTTAACCTTTGGCAGTGCAGCGACACTAAGCGAAATCTTCTCTCCACATCCCAGGTCGTTTCATGTGGCGTGCGTCCTGACATGTCCCAACCTCCACAACCCGCCAAGGCCAAGTGGCTGATCTTTTCTTCACAGGCGATTCCAAATCCCTGGACAGGTCGGGAAAACACCATCGGCGGCTTCAGAAATGCTCAGGTGACAGCTGCAAAGCCGCAGGTGATGTGGAACACTATGGCCAGTGTCCTACTCTTTTGAACAGGACTTTCCCTGCTTCTTCAATCGGAACACATCAGGTGGCAAGTTTACTGAGATCAACGATCCAGCCACGGGTGCATACGGGATGGCTAAAGCATGCTGGAGCGGACGACGGAGGACCCGGTGAATTCACACGGACGCCTCAGCCTTGGGGGCAACTGTAGTGGCGGTGTAGCTCTGACAGGTGCTGCAGGGATGGGCGTCTCAGTGTGTCCTGATTTCGAGCATCGATCTTCAAATCTTCTCCCAACTTTGCCAAGTGTTACAGTAACTGGTCCTTGTGAAGAAAGAATTAAGCATTCAATGTCTAGTAACCACACGACAGTTTCACTGCTACAAAAATCGTTTCAACATTTTTCAACATTGTTCAAGTATATAAATGGCGCCGCTTTTTCTGGGAATCATGTTGTCAGGCTATCAGGCTATCCATGTATCATCTGCATTGGACGCATTGTGACGCTGAAGGGACGCTCCTGTTTTCTCAGCCATGTTGATTCTTTGTCGCCACTTGGATACCACCTGCTCCCAAATCGGAACATCCATGGCCTGAAAGGCAGCGAGCCCGCCCAACACGGGTTTTTGGTCGAAACGTTCTTTTGGCGGATCAAATCAGCAAACTGGGCACATGTCTTCGGTGTCAAAACCACACCAGGAAATGCCTCTGAAGCAAATAACCCTTGAAGGGTGAGGGGTCAAAAAAAAATAAGTATAGCGACAGCATCAAACAGATTCGACCGATGTCAAAAAAAAACAATATTCCCAGCGAACAATGAAAGGCAAAGGAGACTAGGGAAAGGATAGCAGCAGCAGGGCAAGCGACCAAAGGACCATGACAGGGGATTGCAGCAAATAAGCAAAAACATTGGGCAATACTTGCTGTGTGGATATGCGATGCAACACAAAGTCAAAAAGACTTAGGATGGTGCGGGCAATATTTTGTGAGAGCGATGGGTGCGTGGGTGACCTTTGATTTTGTGGGGCTGGAGGGGGGTTGGGGGGGGAGGGCACAGCACCTCCCCCCCAGAGCGAACCAAACATCGAAAAGCCATCAAACTCAAAAGGCACCACAAAATAGATCACCATCAAAAACTACACACTTCATTGCCTCATCGATGAAGGGCACTCAAAAAGTGACGCAAGGACCAAGGCAACCGGGTAGCACTTTGCTTTTCGCAAGCCTCGTGTTTTTGACCAACATTGACCAATGGGCACCGAGGCCAGCGGACCAGGAAAGGAACCAGGGTACCAAAGCACCAGGGCACCAATGGAGCAGGGGACCAGCGGACTAGGAGACCAAGGGCCTAGGGGACGACTGGACGAGGAGACCGAGAAGGACCAGGGGACCAGGGGACCAGGAGACCAAGGGCTTAGGGGACCACTAGACTCGAAGACGGGATTAGTGTGATTGATCCTCTATTGTTTTTCTTGTTGATCCTTGATCCTGTTCTTTTTTCTTTTGATGCTTTACATGTTTATTGTTTGATCCAGATGCCATCCTTGAAAGGCCTGCTATATCTCAAAGCACCGGAGATTGCAACGCTTAGAATTCTTTAACTCTAACCACTAATGCTCTAATTAATGAATCAGGCACGATTTGCACTGATATAACTCTTTGAGGGGTACAGTAGTTTCAGTTTTTGTGTGTGTCTGTTTTTTCTTTTTCAACTAACAAGTGCCATGTTGGTGCACACCCCGTCCTGCAACGAACCCTGGAACATCTCCTGGGGCGCTACCACATAGGCGCGAGGCTTCGCACCGCTCCGCGGCGCCGTGTGTGGCCTCGCAACCAGCTCCTCGACGGCAACGCGGTCCGAACCGGTGGAGCTTCGAAGGATGGGGTGCCGAATGACCCGGACCCGGGACGCGGTCCGACACGCACGGTCTGACGGGGTGTGCCACCGGTTTTCCATTAAATAATCTGATACACTCTGGCCAGCACCCACAATCAACTGAAAACACTTGAACAACTGTCTTGGCTTCCCAACCGTTTGGACCCAGGAACTCTCCTGGCACCAGCCTTTGACGGCACCGCGAAAAATTGACGAACGGTCTCCTTGGCGATGTCGTCCGCCTCAGCGGCCTCTGTTGTGCGCCTGGAATCTGGAGATATTTGGGGCAAATGCCGAAGTTGTAGGCGCAAGTACAGCCATAGTTAAAGTATTGAAAAGGAACATGGATGAGCATTGCATAGGTTGTTTGCCCTGCAACCCACCAAGCGCTTGAGAATGTCCAAGTTGGGACGTATTGAATGTCAGGGCCAATTGTGAAACCATCTCAACACAAAAGCAAAATCAGAGTTCTGCAGCAGTAACATCATCTTTCCTTCAAAAGAACCTGTTCGGATGTTCTGTTCCGTTGACTCATGACAAATCCACATCAAAATGCAAGTCCCTTTGCTGAGTCTTCCAAGGCTGAAGGAGTGAAGGAGGCAACATGTTGGGTTGACCAGGAGTTAAAAGCCCAGGCTTGAGTCCGAAGAACGGGTGCGGAGGCAAACGGGTGCCCAGGTTATTACCCTCCGATTTGCAGATATTCCCATTTGGAAATGGTCCAACATTCACATCATTCACACTTCAGCTCTGCATCCTGGACGAGGTTTGATGCTTGCCTCTAGAACTAGCTTGCCGGCGCAAAAAAAACGACGCAAACAGGTGAACACTGTTGACTTGGTCTTTGTTTGCAGCCGACTCCGGGGGCCCAACGAAAATGGACGCATCCCAGTCTCCATGGACGCGATTCGCTACTGACATGTGCTGAATGCTCCCGGTCTCGGTGCCAACCCGGGACCTCGCCGGGGGGACGGGAGGGCCTTGTGCTGATCGCCCGCTGCTTCGCGCGTGCGGAGAGGTCTGGCGTGAGGTTCGTCTCGCCTCCTTGGGCGAGGAGGACCTGAGCTGATGCGGACGGCGGACTGTTGGACACCCTCTGGGGTAGGGTCCACTGGTTTCCATCTGCACAAGAAAAGTGCTGGAAGGATACAAAATCCATCAAAATCCCATGGTGAAAAAATTCGTCATTCTCCCCCACTCGTGACTCATGTGGATCTCCATTTTTCCTGGAGGCCCTATGCCTAACCTACTTTGCCAATGGCCCAATGGCCCAATATTGAGGATGGCTAAAATGGATGGGCTTAGCTTCAAAGGGAGTACCATTGACCTGGGAAGAGGGAAAGTGGAGTACCACCCCACTAAGTTTGAGACATACCGACAGGCACCCAATCACCCACATGGCGGAGCTTTGACGTAATTCAGTGCCGCTCGTTCTGCGAGGTCACATTGGCTTTCACCAGGTCCCCACCAAGCTGATATCACCTTTCAGCTAGACGTTGTCTTGAGTAGACTTGCCTGGACCTACGGTGGCAACCGATTCGCTCCAAATATGAGCTGAACTACGCTGATCCAACAAGAAACACGACCCAAGCCAACGCTGCGGTCGGTGTTACTGCCAAGGCCAAACGGGCAAACGAGCAGTAATTACTTGAACTATAAGTCATAAATGCGTGCAAATACAGCGAACCACCATAGGTCACCGGCGGGATAGCAAGAATCCTCCACCGTCAGAAATGAATCTTAAGGCCAGTGTTGGCTTGTTGTATTCTGCCTGTGAGAACCTGCCGTATCCCTGCGACAGCACATCCCTTCGAGGCAGGCGGACCAAAGAATGATAATGAACTAAAGAACACACACGACATACATCCGACTCATGTAGGGAATAATTATTTGCTGCCTACATGCAAAGAAGTTTAAGATGTTTTTGGAGTGGTGGGCAATGTATGGAAAATATTCCACACGTGGATTGCTAGGGGTTCACAGCCCAGTCACGTTCTCCAAGCCAGGGCTGATGGGGAGTTTCGGGCGCCTGGTGATGATCCTCAGAGCGGCGGTGGCTTGAAGCTTCGCCCAAAAGGGGGTCAAGGCGGTTGTTCTTGTTGGCACAGGGATGCCCACAAAAGACCAAAACCATCTATAGTGATCCCCAAATAGACAGAAATGGTTTCCGATACTGTACATGATGAAATTTGATTGTTTGGGAGGCCGTCCACGTTTTCCACCTCACCCCTGTGACTGGAAACAGTTTGCCAGGGGTGGTCGAAGAGCAACCAACTTAGGGCTTAGGAGCTCAATTGGGTGGGGATGAACTGGTGAGAGATCGACGTTCAGAAAGAAAGAGAACTCGTTGGTTGATAGCTTGGATCTGCACAATTCTTGTTTCAGAGTGCAATGCCATCTCCAACTCGTCGCTTCCAACTCCTCGGCTTCGCTCCGACTCCTCCGCCCAGGCGCCGGTCTGGCTCGCGCGGCCCCTCCGTCGATGGCTCGCGCGGCCACGTGACCTGCGGTGCTTCAACGGCGTCCGCGCGCGTCTCGAGCAGCACGTCGCTCCGATCGATGGGTGGGCTCCTGAGGCGCAGGCAGAAGATCACGGACAGATCACAGATCAAACGAGTTATCTATTTTGCACTCGTTTGGTCTGGAGATCTCTTTGATTCAAAGAGGCACTCTCTCATATATTCATATTTTACTTTCTTCGTTCTCGTACATCCAATATCTATATGCAACTATCTATGCAGTGTTGTGCAGCTTTTGGGCTACGGGTCGCCGCTAGGGCCAATTGGAATGACGCAAAGAAGCAGGGCCACGCACTTGAACGGAACATACGTGGACGCAGTCTACGTGGGTGCGGTCTGCCAATCATCGCGGTGGTGCAAGTGTGGCTGTGCGAGTCTTAGTTGACACCAAGTCCAAGGCTCCAAATCTCCTTCACTGACAGAGCCATCCCTTGGAAAATGCCTCCTTTCTCGCTCTTCTCCGACCAAGTGCTCACCACGGATGCGTCATCTTGAGTCAAGAAGGTGAAGAAACCCTGGCCATCCATCCCATCCTCCAAAATGAAACGAGACACACACCAGCACCTACCTCTTTATTGTTTCAGCGCTGCTCGCCAACTTCAGAATCGCAAAAAGGCAATCAAACAATATGTCCAGCATCAAAACTCTAGAGTTACAGCCTCTACAACTCAGGGTTTGCCCAGGGCATGCAATATGTTCATTCAGCTGTTGGCTTTTAACTGCTACAGTAACCTCCCCAGAAGATCCAGAAGCCATTTCTTGATGTTTCTTGCCTTCGCCGTTTCACCCCTGTCCGGGTCGAAGATGGTCGCCACAAAGCTCCTCGATGGTCCACAAGTGTGTTCACTTCGCGGACTCGGCGCGCCCAAACGAGCACCGTGCGCAGAGATGTCTGCATCCGGCGCCGAGCTCGGCTTGCTTTCGCCGAACGAACAGGCTGGGGGATCCAACGGCCTTGGGAGCTGTATCTCCTGCCTGTTCTGTCGTTGCTGATCGCCCTGGCTCTGTTCTTGCCCCTGTTCCTGCTGTGGCATCTTTTGGAAGAGCTCTGCTGGCACGAAGGATACAGGGCGACTAAGAACTGGGCTTTGTGGCGTCGCTTTGTCCTTAATGCCATTGACGGTGAAACCTTGCCCCCCTGGCAACCTGCTCTTAGACCGCTTCATGCAAGCCCTCCAGTTGACTGTTGGCACCAGGTTTGCCAGTAGAGCGCACGAGGAGCTTCCATGCACATCTCCTTGAGTTTCAGGACTGGGGCAAGATTCTAAGAAACGGTTCTTGCTCTGTAGCACTGTAGATGTCAATGTTTTGGGGGACAACCTTATTCCTCCACGCACTCCTTCCAAACCAAACTTTCATTGGCAGCCTTGCTAGGGCACACATCTTGAGGCCAAGAAACATGCTCTGAATGTCGACAAGTCTCGCCCGCATTGAAAGCAATAAAAGGCCTTGTGTCCTTTGGTGCAACACTTGCGACATTTCCACCATGGTTCCCGATGAGCTTCAAGACCGGTCTTTTGCAGGAAGTCTTCGCTTTCCCGGCCCTGAACGCGCGTGGTGAACGTTGAGCCGCAGGAAAAACTGCCATTTTATCGTTGCAAACAAGTACTTAGAACTTAGAACATCTTAGAATATCAATCTGTCCAAAACTAAAAAAAAGTCCTTACAAAATTGGACCAGCGCGCATGGAACAGCAAGAGCCAGCACACTTTCAGCATGGACGACGCGCACTCTTAGAACAAAATAAACCAGCGCCGTGCCGCACCCATAGACATTTATAGATTGACAGAGCACCATGTATGTTTCACACACTGTGTATATATATATAATATATATATATATACATATACACACATCGTCCAGAGAGCACCTATGCTTGGAACATCGGTTGCATTGGCCGGAGGAGAAAGTCGTTCTATTAGTGTGAGAAGGGATAGTAAAAGCAGGGAAAGCAAACACATGTTGAGATGTTCAGATTACGTACTTAAAACTTAGAACACCTTATGTATTTTTGCTCTCGCTCACTCTCTCACTCTCGCTCCAGTTGTTTGTGAAAGCAGCAACTGCATGCTCGGAACGTCTCAGCATAAAGCTGTGCAAAACCCTTGCAAGAAGGTCACATCTCTTAAAAGTGTCATTTTCAAGAAGGTAACATCTATAATGTCCAAAGCCATTACAAACACCCATTTGCTGGCAAAAAGGATCAACCAAAAAACACTCCTTTGTTTATCAAATATGTTAAGAAGTGTATATGGTGGGCCATGTTCTTAGTGTAGCTGCCGGGAACTGGGATGTTCTTGCTCTAGGCTTTGAACCTTCGCTGACCCTTAGAACGTCCCACCTGCAAAAGAACATATAAAATGTGTTTGATTGGCAAACTTGATGTGTTGCTGCGATATCCATGGCTTTACCAGCTTGTGGTACAAAAATTTGGCCTAGCTGCACAGTTCATGCAACGTTCAAACTTCTGGCGGAGGCTTGGCAGTGGAATGGCATCCATGGCATGGCCTCAGAGGAGATGGTGTCTGACGAAGGAAAAGGTTGTCCAGGTGCTTTGTCTAGCTGTTTCTTTACTCACCGCTCCTCACCCAACTGTTTGAACTCCATTGAACTCCCTCCTTTTCAGCTTTTCACCTCAGGCCCAGCGCTGTCCGTGTCTTGTTCAAACGGACGTCCCAACACCCCAGCCTTCATCGCAGCAGGGACTTCGGCCGACGCCCAGGTTTTCCAAAGCCTTCGCCAAAGCTTGCCCAAGCTCTTGATGGGACGCTTCGATGCCTCAAACACATGTCGTCGCGACCTCTGCGAACGCATGTCGGAGCGACCTGAAGGGAAAAGACACCAAGGACACATGGTGGGAAAAGAAAAAGACATGTGGGTATTCTGCCTGAGGCCCACAATGAATTGCGATATGATTGTGAAGAGAGTACGGGGTAGGGAGTCGCCCTACCAAATCATACCACATCTAATTCTAGGATAGTGATGGGTAGTGAACTCACAACTATCCTGTCGTTCGAGCGATTTGTGCCAGAGGTGATTTGGAAAGTACATATGCCGTGACATCTTGGCGCATGACCTAACAAACTGCCCGACGTATGAGCTGGCATATGTACTGGTGCAATTTTCTTGAGCTTTCTTCTCTGACGTTCTGACGCATGTTCCATCTTGCAGTTTTCATCTTGCTTCAGGCTCTTGGTGACCCAATTCCCAACGACCCGGTCACTGGGTCTCTGGGTCTCAATCCGACCGGTACGCGCGTCTGACGGACCAGCTGACGTACCAGCTGACGCTCTGCACGAAGAGCAGCCTGGCGATGTCTGATTGGAGTGACTCAGAGCACGTTTTGCATGTGTTTGCACCCAGATTCCACTGAATGAGTGAGTGAGTGAGTTCTCATCCCTGGTCCAGCCCCTGGGAGTCCAACCACCATTGATTTCATGGTTCTGACGGAAGAATTCAGAACCGTGTTCTCAACTACTGGTTTAGCTAAGGATTATATAGATTAAAACCAGTTCTGCCAAACATGGTCAATTTGTGTTTAAATCTTGCAAAGCTAGGACATCGATTTGACATGCCTCATCTTCAGCATAGAACCAGCCCCGTCGTTCGGCGTTCTGCACGATGTTCTGCAAGCGAAGAGCCTCACACGCCTTAGGGATCGAACAGGGTCGAACATGGTCGAACATGGTCCAGACGGGTCCAGACGAACCCCCCTTGGAAGAATGAGACACCCTACGAATCCCTACGTCGCCTTCCACATCCTTCCACCTCCTCCGACCTCAATACGATCGGCGATCCGATTCGGTCTTTTAGCACCCATGTTGCTTTGCCAAGCGCCTTGGCTTGGTGGAGACGGGGCCCGACGTTGAGACGGCATGTGGGAGGGCTCGTGGGTCCTACGAGGGCGGACCTCACTCTCGGGCCGCATGGGCCGCACATCCAAACGGAGGCGGTCGGCGGAAAACGGGCTGCCCATGGGCGGTCCATATCCATTGCCCCACAAACCCAAACGAATCCAAACGATCTCAACTGGTTCAAATGGTGGTCACCCATGGTGGCCCGGGTCGCCAAGGGGTGCAAACTGGCCACCAGCATCAAGACCCAGCAGCAAACTGGCCACCGGCCACAACCCCCATCCCTTCCTCTCTTGCAGCTGAGGCAACCGAGGTTGCTATCTCATCCAGAAGCTCTGCACACAGACCTCCCAGGTTCTCTACTGCACCACCCTTCTGACTGAAGCTTTGGACCGAACAGCCCAGCTTCGAAAGCACCCTCACTCTACTGCACCCCCCTGAAAGCCGGAACATCGACCCTGCGTCTAACCCTTCTCGGTTCTTCGCCTAAGCACTGCAGCGTCTCGCGCTTCTGCAGCTCCCCCCGTGCGAGCTCCCTGTGAGCATCGCGGCAGCACTCCCGCACGGTGCACTGCAACGGCCCCACGTCAAGCCAAGTCCCCGAGCCTGCGCACTCCGCGGTTCCAGCGGACGTCGGAGTCATCCAAACGTGGGATCCAACGGTTTGGTCAAAGCGAACGAAGCAGGTTTTTGGACCCCCACAATGTGCTGGCTGGAAGTTTGGGGAGCATTTGTTCTACGTATAAAGTTGTCTATATAAGTTATTACCTGGCCTTGTAATTGCAAATCCTTCTTGGCCAATGAGGCAACAAACCAGGTGGGGGCCACCAACCACAGCATTATGGCCAGCCTCTTTGCAAAGCTTGGCCAAGGGCGCGAGTCAAAAGTCCGGCCAAATGGCCATCCTTGGTTTCTGGCGACGGCCTGCAAAGGATGGCAGTGACCCAATGTCTACGGAATCAACAGTACCTAGCACCTTGGCATATCAGTTTTTGGTATTCAACGGTTGGAATGACCTTTCATTTCATCACCTTTCAACTTTCAATTCATCAAGTGAGACAAAGACCGCATGGTCTCTCCACAATCAGGACACAACGTTTCATAATCTCTCTCGCTCCTCACTTGTCACTTGCGCAAGAATGAGCAGTGTCATTGAGCATCCAATCACTTCAAGAACAAAGACTGCCTGGCTGACTGTGTCTTAAAAACTCTGACTGACGTGCAGCTCAGGAAAACCAAAAACCACCGGCACTCGTGGAGTCCGCTCTTTGGCGGCCGCTCTTCGTGCGGATGGATCAGGTGACGGACCGCTTCCGTCGCTGGCATCGACGGCGTTGCATCGACCTGCCCGTGGCATCGACCTGCCGGTCCTCGCACAGTACTTCGCTGCTTGGGACAGGAGGGTGCATGGAAATTTAGCAAGAAGCACACGTCTTGCAAGTCTTGCAATGCATCCTGTTGTGGAACGGCGTTCTTTTGGAGAACGGAACTGAGGATTCACTCACCAAAAGGACTATCCGCACGTCTGTCTCGTGGCACTATTTGCGAAGCCAAACATCGCCATCATTCCATCGAATCGTCTGCTGTGCGTCCCAGAAGACCTCCCCCAAGTACACCACACCATCTGCGATGAGTTCAACCTGGTTGTCTACTGTGCTGAGTTTGGAGACCTTCTCCTTGATCTCGATCTGATCCACGTGCCAAATCATACATCGATCCTGGATTTCGCCCACATTCACACCGTCGCCTTGCCTGTACCAAAGCCCGCTCAGCAAACTACCCGAATTGGGCCTTTTTGTCATCTCCTTGTCAGGCTCGCTATCAGGCCTTCGCAGTGGCATTTCCATCAGGACCAGATCACCATATTTTTGAGTGGTGCAAATGCAAATGTTGCTGCCTGAACAATGTTCAGTGCATGAAGCTCCGGAGCACGACGTTCCCATCTGCGACTGAGTTTCCGTGGCTTGCTGGTTGAGTTGCGCTGACTGAAACGCATGATGGCATGTTTCTAATGCTTCACTACGTCCCTGAAAGAGGGCCGGGTTGCATCCAATGCTAGTCTAGCAGCCTTCTTTGTTCGTTGAATTCCGTGTGGTTTCAGTTTTGGGCCTTTTAAAGGGCATGTAGGTCCCACCTCTCACCATGCAAACAGTCAGTTGATGACTGCAAATCAGGCAATGGCAATAGCATGATTAAAACAACATGGAACAATAAAGAAATGGTGTCACAAACAAGAATCTGCACCTGCCCCTGCACCAGCCGCTCGAAGCTGACATCACCTGCGATGTTCCCAAAATGCGAGAGAATATGTACTTTCCTTAGGCGATCAAAGTATTTCTATGATTTTACTTTACTTACATCAAATTTAAAGTGCCAGTGCTACTGCTCCAACTGCATGTAGTAGTTACTCTCAAAACAACAATGCCCAACCGGTCGATGATGGGTCTTGGTCTATTCTAGCCCGATTTTGACAAGCCCAACTAAACTAGAGCTAAAAAAAGCGTCTATGTAAACATCGTTATCCCAGCTGCAAACAGCAGTTCCAAACGGCAGCTTTCAGGTAGACAGCAGGCGCTCATGTACAATGTCGTATGGCTGTCTATTGTGCACTCCCTGTTCTCGAAACACCAGCCTTCTTGCCTACAGAGGTAAATGTGTCAAAAGTATTCAAAAGTAGGATACCTCTTGGGTGACCTACCTGGAAGGTCAAGCTACATCGTCGTGTTGGGGCTCCAGGTATTGACCCGTCCCCATGTATGTACTGTACGTTGTAGTGTAGTCCCTGGACAGCACTTGGGAAAGTGGTCGAAGTTGCAAAGTGGTCGTTCGCGTAGATCTAGCGAACTCCTCCGCCAGTCCCTCAGGCCACCAAATGGCTGCGCGTTGCGGTCCAAGCTTGGCTTACTGGGATCGAAATAGTTGTCTCTTCTAGATCTTCTAGCAGTCCAAAAGCAATAGTCCTCTTGGCCTGTGCGCGCGTCTGAGCGGTGTCTGCAGCGACTTACAGCTCACCTTCTGCACGGCAAATGGGTGTCTCTGGGTGATAGCCGTGCAAATCAATTACCGCATATTCATGGTCCCCACGTAGGCAAACGATCTGCAGCAGCCACTTAGCAGCGACTTGGCGCCAGCCCGACACGTGCAAAAACCTAGCGCCATGCTGAAGAACGCGAACAAAGATGGCATGTCTAAACCCCGGAAGCTCCAAGCGGTGGCTGCTTGCGATGAATCCCTGGAATCCCTGGGAACGGTCCCTATACTAACTTCATACAGTATGAGCAGTGTTTTTTTCCGCCCATTCTGAACAGCTTGCGTTGCAAAGAACCATTGGAACATATGAGCTGTGCTGGAAACCTTGATAGATTGAAAGGTCGTATGGGAAGTCTTACGCTGAGACTTACGCTTTCCTTGCGCCGCGCACAGTTTTAGCTTACGCGGCTGGTTGTGGTAGAAAGGGCTTACGCCAGGCTTACGCCAGAGCACTGCACTCAAATTTCCACACCATTTTCATTCAAGGCTTTCAGAGGTCTAAGACCGCAAGCGTGAATTTCCACACCCCTCCAAGAGAAAAACTTACGCGAAGATGAGTTTATAGCAGGATAGATACACACACACAAGGCAGGCGACCATGTTCACGCAGCACTACTTGCAGAGTGACTAGATGATATGCTTGATGAGGACGATGTGGATTCTGCATCAAACACCTGGTCAGACTTCATGGCCTCACTCTGGCGCTTGCGCTTTCTTGCTTACCTGCTCAAAGTCTGAGCTGGCGCCATGCGTGGGCAACTGATTAGAAATCGATGTTGTCTTTACGCAGTGCTTACGCGGACCTTACGCCATGTCTGATCATTCCTTGGTTCATAAAAACAACTTGTGTTCATTGATTGGCCCTTACGCCACTGGTTATGTTGAAAAAACCTTACGCAACCTTACGCGCAGCAGACTTTTGCTTACGCCAACCCTCCTTATGACCAAGCTCTTAACAAAAATGTAAAGGGAGGTTTACGGCGCTGCTCATATGAATTACATTGAATATCATTTCATTACAACATGTTCATCTCTCTTTGGTGGTGCTGCAAGCAGGAAAATGATCCCAGTCTGGTCATTCTGGGAATGAGAAAAGGCCGGAAGAGAGCTACCGGTCAGCCACAGCCGCAGGTCGCACTGTCCACCGGTCTTCCAAGAAAAGGCGAAGGCGTCCACGTCTGAGTCGCTGACCCGCACTCGGGAAGGATTGACCTCACCTGTTCGGAAGTCTCTCTCTCTCTCTCTTTCGTACGCGCCGAATTTGTGTGACATAATTATGTGGGTATACAATACACAACTCGGAGACCATGCCACGATCCCCTTGGTCCTTCACACCTCGCAACGGTCCCCTTCAAGTTCACAAAAGCCGTCTCACCCCGAACGAGTCCCAAGCTCTGGACTTCCCCACCAGGCTGACGTCCCCCTGCAGACCGGCCTCGGGAAGTTCCACTCCGGCCTGGCCGAGGTTCCGTGGCCCGAGAAGTAGTCACAAGATGTCACAAGTAGCACATGTTGGCCTCCAAGCCTTGAGATTCCTTGATCCTACTCTCGCAGGCATGTCACCCGGAGTCAGCAAAAAGCATCACTCGGAGTCAGCAAAAAAACCCTTGATTGTCGCCTTCCCTCGGCTTGGGCCGAGGACGAGGCCTGGCGAAGTGGATGGGGTGGGAGAGATGGATGGGAGAGATGGATGGGACGGATTCGAAAGGCTTGGGAGCTAGGGTTGCTGTCAAATGTCAAATTGCCAGATCCGAAAAGGGCGGTCCAAGCATCAGGCCCCTTCAAATGCGGAATCACTCCACAAAGCATGGTACTCATGGGCTGCACATGTTACTCATGGTTCTGCTTGGCTCAGAATCCAAATCTCTAAGTTTACATGACAAATCACCGCGATCCAACGGATCCAACGTTGCCGGCACCGTTCCTTGTAGGCTTTCGGCCTGCGACGAAGCACGACATGACGATTCGGAATGTCGTTTCAGCATGGGAGCATGGGTTCCAATTAGTATCTCAATCTCGATATGACTCCAAAGAAGGAACCCATGCTCCCATGCTGAAACGAAATTAGAGTCAAGAAAACGGTATGTGCACAACTCTATTGGGCTTCAAGAAACAACCGAGCACCTATCACCTATGCCATGTGCAAACAAGTAAATATGTACTCGGCATGTGCATGCGTGCAGCTAAACAACATTGCACGGCCCTGACCAAAAAGAACATCATATTGATCAGATCTAATCTATGAAGGCCAAGGTCAAACAGGCTCATTATATGAGTTGCTTACGTAATTAGTTGTGCCTTCTGTTCTGCCCGACAGGTCCAGTGCCAGGGCTTGCAGAAAACCATAGAAAGAACACCATGATAATATTGAACATGTTGTGCAACCAATGACAATGCTTTGAAACCGATGATCTTGTGTTGTAAACGATCACAATGTTGTGACATCAATGACAAGACATCCCCCCCGTTTTGACCCTTCATGTTGGAAAACTACTTGGTACTAATATACTACTTGTGCAACAAACATTAAGCTGACATGTCCTTGCAGCAAAGGTCCAAGATCATGCATCCAATCCACCTTCAAAAAAGACTGGAGGCAGCAGCTCACTTGCCGAGTCGAAAACACACTTAGAGTTGACCCCCAAAGGAAACTAGTCGCCCAAGCAATCGACAAGCGGGTGAAGCCAAAGCCTTTTTTGGCCAGCACCAGTGGGTCTCCTGCGCATGCGAGAAACGATATGATCCTGCCGCGTCAAAACAACCTGTCATATCATGTACCTAATGCAATGGCCTCCAACCTGCTAGCGATGGTCTCCACCCTAATAGCAATGGTCTCCACCAACCAAAAACTGCGTTTAACCCTAGGACTTCTCACCTGCCCCGACCGCGACCCCCCAAAACCCTCCGCTCCTGAGATGACCTGCTTCGCGGAGCTTTGGACGCCTACCGTTCCGACCCCGGTCGCCACGACCGGTCGAGCAGTCGGTCGAGTCGGAGTCGGAGTCGGGTCGCACCTGTGAAGGACTCAAAAGGACCAGAGGCATGAGAACCTGCCAAGTCCGCAGGCTTTCGATCAGATCACCGGCTGAATCGGGCAGGTCAAACATGGTCAAACGTGGGTGAGGGGGGTCAGATTTTTTGCAGGGGGGCATTTGAAAGAGCCCTGAAAACACGCGAAAAGGTTGTTGGCCAAATCTGTGGGATTGTGATCTTGCTCATAGAAGTTGACTCGATGGCATGAACTTTGAACATAGAAAGTGCAGAAAGAACATCAGTGGGTTTTTCTTTCACGGGCCCTGTTCAATCATTCCCGAAGTTGCGTTTTTCCTGAAACTGCGGGCCTTGGCGCGAATCGCTTTGAGAAGGGCGTCCTGACCCGCAGCGGCCGGGATGGCAGTCACTGGCGCTCAAGATCTCTTTAGGCTTTTGGAGGTGGCACAATGCGAAGTTGAGAACCCCAAGACAGGACCGTTCAATGCTAGGGTCTCTTGCAATTTCTGAAATCAGGAACTCATGAACTCAGGTGAGCTCCCTTTAAGGCGTTTCAGGGGTGAACGCTCCTTTAGAATATCTTGGGTCTCCTGAATTGGCCTCTGAGGTTGGGAAAACTCGTATTTGACCTGCAGGTTGCAGGTTAAATTTTTAAGTCAAGGGAGCGCCGGATTCGGCTTCTCAGGCCACGTGCCTGTTACCCCACCCCACACACTTAGATTCATAGCTCAAATGAATGAGCATAAGTTTCAAAAGCTGGATCACACGTGAATGTTTGGCCCTTGACGTGTACAAAGCTGCGTGGAATACAAGGGAGAGGTGGCCACCAGCTGCGTCTGACAATGCGCCCAGGTGCACCAATGCAGGTACGTTTTCACAGGAAACGCGTCTTCGTTGGTCGCTGACTGCACGAGTCCCCAGCGACCCCCTGCTGCTTCATAAACATTGGTGGAGTGTCTTGGAAGCAGAGTGGACACACACACACACAGCCTTTCTCTTCTTGCTTTCTTTCGCTTGTTAGGTCCTTTCTTGTGGCTTGTTAGGTTGCTGCTTAGGCTCGTTTAGCTGATCCACACCACCCAGCCCCCTTCGCTTTCGTTCTTTCCTGCTGTCGTTTCTCTTTCTAGGCTTCTCTCCTTTCTGGAGGCTTTTTAGGTAGTTGGCAACCAAGTTTTTTTTGTCAGGTGCTTGCCGCATTTTCCAATCGTTGGAGTGTGCGCTGAAGTCGGCTCCATGTGTGTGTGTGCCCCTTGTAGTCACAGGGATCCGTTTGGATTGTAGTTTTGACTCCGGTTTCATTTTGAGCAGGGGGGCAATCCCACATTGCAACGCAGAGGGCTGCAGTGTGGCTGATATCCGGAAGGGCCGCCTTCTGGACGTACCTGCAATGTTTGTGATGTTTCCAAGCTGTCACCCTCATCTTCCAGTACAGTGCTAGTGAGCTCTGCAGATGTGCACGGACCGCCGTCATCTTGTCGATCCGAACTCGTCGATTTGGCGCTTGAGCCTTGGGCCTCACTTCCGTTTGAAGACCCCCAGCCTCTGTTAGGTTTTTACCTGTACTCTTAGGAAATTGTACCCTAGGCCGGCGTGTGGCACCGCTTTCAGTTCAGTACACCCTATCCTAAGTGTGTCTCTCCTAGTGAGAGCCCGGGATGAGCCCGAAGAGTGCCTCCCGTGGACCCGTCTAATGGGGGTTTGTCGTTGTTTCCCTTGCTTCGGAAACGCACGTGCCCACAGTGGGCGAAGGTGGCCTAGGCCGAGAGAAATTTGAATTGTGTCTCCTTTTTGAAATTCCAAGCTGGCTCACGCCTTTATGTGACCGCAGCGGTCTGAGCAGCCAGCCGTTTTGGCACGGCGTACGTGGCCGTAGCGGCCCAAGTTTGCGTAGACTCGTTGGAGTCCGTCGCACTCTCAAGTGCACACACAGCGTATACACTTTAACGAGGTAGGTCTTCCTAGGTCGTTATAATGAGGTTTGGTTTCATCGGTTCCCGTCCCCTTCACTTGGTTCCCCTTTTTCATCCTTTCCCCTTCACACACTTCTTTTTCCTCTTTCTTTTCATGTCTTCCCTGACTTCATGTCCTGTCATCTCACTTCTTTCTTTCTCTTGCGCGCACAACGGTCCGGGCCTTAGTTTGTACGCGCACATCCACTGTACACTTAGGTCTCAGGTCGCCCAGGTTCTGATAATGAGGTTTGGCTCACTGTTTGTCCCTGTGCATCTGGCTCCCTCTTCATCGCAACCACATACCTTTTGTCCTGTCTTGTCCTCTTTTCATGTCTTCATCTTTTTGTCCTTGGTTGCGTGCACCTGTGCACACACGTCTTAACCGGATTAGTTTTCGCCTCCCTCGGGGAGGCGTGTGTGTGTGTGCCCCTTGTAGTCACAGGGATCCGTTTGGATTGTAGTTTTGACTCCGGTTTCATTTTGAGCAGGGGGGCTGATATCCGGAAGGGACGCCTTCTGGACGTACCTGCAATGTTTGTGATGTTTCCAAGCTGTCACCCTCATCTTCCAGTACAGTGCTAGTGAGCTCTGCAGATGTGCACGGACCGCCGTCATCTTGTCGATCCGAACTCGTCGATTTGGTGCTTGAGCCTTGGGCCTCACTTCCGTTTGAAGACCCCCAGCCTCCGTTAGTCTTTACCTGTACTCTTAGCAAATGGTACCCTAGGCCGGCGTGTGGCACCTCTTTCAGTTCAGTACACCCTATCCTAAGTGTGTGTGTGTGTCCCACCCTGGACAAAGGGTCTTCCACCACCATTTCTCCACAAGCAGGGGATGGAGACACCTGTATTGCTTCTCCATCAACGAAGCTGGCAATACACGGTGAGGATATCAGTTCCGGACGCGGAACTGACGTACCTGCTTTCAACACAATGACTCCACTGGTCCACCCTGCCGCTGTTCGTTGTTTTCATGGTCCTTCATGTTACCACCCCCAAACCCACTGCAGCCTCACAGCCGACTTGCAGCCGCGCTGAGTGTCCGATCGTCTTTTCGAGTGCCACTGCAAACAAAGTTAAACCATACTGTTTTCACTGACCTTTGCGCCCTGCGGTTCCTCGCCTTTCTTCCCAACGTGATACTTGCATTAACTGAAAATCCAAGTTCGAAGTGTGTGTGTGTGTGTCAAGTCCTGTCCCTAAGGACCTCTGACACCACCAGATTGTAACATATTCTAACTTTCACTGTACAGTGATGCAGGGGGACACAGCATTTCACTGGGACTGTGTCCAATGAAGCTACCAGTGAAATGGGATATCCAGCTTGGCCAGCTGGACGTACGCGCATCGATTCTTAGTTTGAACTCTAAGTAAAACTCAAGCTGTCTCATGCGTTGTTTCGCTGTAATTCAGTCAAGGTCTAAGCTGCAGTAATTGCCTAGAACTCTAAGTAAAGCTCAAGCTGTCTCATGCGTTGTTTCGCTGTAATTCAGCTACGGTCTAAACTGCAGTAACTCTGGAATTTCACAACTGACTTAGCTCTTGCGAGCATGAATCTAAGTGTGTATTTAGATTAAGGAGTCTTGTGTATTCAAAAGGGAGACCCCCCCTGGCCCAGTGGGTTTTGGTATCTTTCCTTCCAGGCGGGGTTTTGGTGCGGACTAGGAACCCACGTCATGCTCTCAGTGACCTATGCTATTATGATCTTCTTTTGCGGCGGGATTTGGTCATGCTGACTTCAATCGGCCCTGACTTCATGGACGACGAATGGACCCCGACGAATGGACCACGCCTCGAAGAGAGCCACTTCGGAGCGAGACGGCACGGTTCCCTGGGGAGGACAGGAAACCAAAAGGCAAAACTCGAAGATTGGAAGGGGACAGATCGCAGGACAGTTGACACATGTAATGCAAGTGCTTCAAAGCAGCAAAAACGATGCAACCTGCTAACTGGCTGGGTCTAGCTGGTGGCTGGTTCTTGCAGTTCAAGAGAATGGAAAGCAGAAAGCATGAGATGTGCCTGGTAGGGAATCACTTCTTGGAGCATCCAAAGAATCTCCTGCAGCACTTGCACATTCTGGGTTTCACAGGATGAAGGGCTGTTCAGGATCTTGATCAGGAACATCGAACATGAGCTGCATGACCGAAACGCCCGAAACGCCCGCGACTAGCACCTCGGCTCTCGTGGTGAAAGTGGAATTGACTGCCAGGCGTCATTTGCACCCATGCGCGCCCACCGTGGCGCTCTGAACAATGAACGATCCCTGTATCCCTGTTACTTCATGTTATTTCCTGATACAAACTGTCACCACTCACTGTGCTGCAAAGGAAAATTGTCTTTCACATTCTTTCGTAGAGGAACAAAGGTCGGGTCCATCTTCACTTTTTGGAGGGTGCTCTCACTGTCCTCTGTAGTAACTAATTTCAACTTGCCCCTGCTGCATTTGTCATTTTCACAAAGCAACGTACAGTACATGTATTGCTTTGTTTCAAGTGATTCCTTCCTGTCCGCGCATGTGCAAGAATCACAGTAAGCCCATACGCCCGATAGCAAAATCCTGACACATGCAACATCGTCTCTGCCGTCACTGAGTTCCATCCATGTGATCATCTGCTTGTGGCTTCATGTTTCAACGTAAAGATACACTGCAGGCGCATTGGCCCAATTTAAGCACCATCTTTGGGTGCAGGCTGGCTCAAGACCAAATTGTTGCAGGCCCTGATCGACCAGCCACGATCCAGTGAAACCTAGCGAAACCTCGATCGTTTGGAACCACGGCCACACAAGTGAGAAGCATGGCATGTGTAGGGGGTGGATCGGAAAAGCAAAAGATCGGGGCCACCAGTTGGTTACTTCCACCGTCTGGGGTTTGTAGGATACTACAATGATCTATAATGTACTTATATATATATGTATATATGTACACCTGAACTGTGGATTTCATCCTGCATCTAGCCTGAGAGGTTTCTCATTCCACAAAGAGGAAGCCGACCAGATCGACTGAACGCGTCGTTCGCCAATCTCCTGAACGCGTCGTTCGGTGTTTCTCGATCGGCTGGTAGTTTAAAACATCTGAAACACCCTTCTTCAGCAACTGGTTCATTTTGATGAATCTCAACAAACAAACTTGGTCTTATGCAAGTATATCAAGGTGATAGAGGGCAGAAACGCAGAAACCCTCCCATCCCTTCCCTTCCCACAAACACTCCAGAAACATCCAAACTGTCCCATCCTGTCCCATCCCCCCCAGTCCACCCCAGATGACTCCGAAATCGCCGATGACTCCGACGGACTTCGCCTACGTGCGGCAGCTGGGGCAAAGGGTCGAGGTTCCACTTCTGGAGACCTGGTTCTGTGAGCGAGTGGAGCGAAGCGAGTGAAGGGAGAGCTGGTTCTGTGTTCAAAAGAAGACCTGGGAGGTAGGAAACACATCAATGGCAGGTATGCCCTTTCTCAGCAGGATGTCTTCTCATATGTTCTCATCAACATTGTCTTCTTTAAGTTCTCCACTCTGAGATTTGTAATCGGGTTGTAACCACAATCCCATTCAGCTGCATGGCTCTGGTCAACCCAACGGACATTCACAACGGACAACCTTCCCTCCTTGCTCGAGACATTGGCTTTTCTCATCCTTTCATTCATCGGGCGTTCCAACGAAAGAGGGTTTTTCGATGGCTTTCGATCCTTTGTCTCCTCCTTCCATTAGCTGTTCAAGAGCCTTCTCCAAGGGGTCACCTCTTTAACGCCACACCGACGTCCACCGATGAGACAGAGGCGGCTCGGTCCTCTCATCTCGTGGTCCGGTCCCGATGTCTGAAAGTCCGGTCAACGTCTCGGTTCAAGGCAAAACGTATCCCGCACTGCGAGCACCAGACCTGCATCTCTGCGATGCAATGCGATCAAATCGGTCTCCGGCATGCAGGGGGAATGCTCCAAAAGCGCTGAAACTCGCAATTCGCGATCATACTATGCTGAAACCCAAAGGCCCAATTAGGTAATCGCGAACTTGCACACTACATCCATACGAAGCTGGTTCGAATGCTGCAAATCCATACAAATCCATCAGATCAATTCTCCCATATGCACTACCACCCAGTTTGGCAGGGTGTTGTCTTTGTCCAAATTTTCTGTTCTTCACCACCCCCATGCCGCACCTCTTTAGCCCCTTGCCGCAGAACTGCCTGTACGTGCCTCGGCGTAAAAACGTCACACCATACACAACCACGCATGAATCAAAGCCTTCCCTTCTTGTACGGATCCTTGTGATATGCAGTTGCTCTCTTTAGGGGGCCACTAATATCATTGATGTGAACATGTGTACATTTGGGATCGTGGTGTATTTGGAATGCAGAAAAGGCTGACGTTCTTGACAATGATCTCCAGGCCCCACAGGACGTGGGGTGAAGGTCTTTCAGGTCTGAAGGTGCTCAACATCGATCAACACCAGCGCTGCCGATGCCTCTCGAACTCTTCCTCATAGCGCTGCCGTTCGGCCGTCCTGATGCCGAACTCGGCCGAACTCGGCCGTCCGAACACAGCGGCCGTCGACCGCCATGGGACTTCTACACCGCTTCGTCCGACAGGGTTCCACTGTTCTCCTACCTGTTTCACACCATGTTCCATGCTTCACACACCCCTGTCCATCTTGTCTCATGTAGCATGCTGTTTTCATTCAGGGCTGAGAGCATGACGACATGGGTGGCTCTCGATTGGTGGAGTCCCCATCATCTTCTTCACAGCGGCTGCAGGGAGATTGGCCCATCCTCCGGTCCGCTCGGCCTGAGCGGCTGCAGGATAGCTCCGCTCCCATGCGGCTCCCAAATCCCATGTCCCAACAATGTTCGCTACTAGGGGCTCTTGGCATCGCTACTAGGAGCAAGAAGCTACTAGGG